TGTGCACTGTGTGTATAGCCACACGATTCAAGATGGCTGAATCTTGAAAGTGGCCAATGTGTCCCTTAACAGATGAACGGACAAAGCAGATGGGATATTTACATATAGTGGAGTACTACTGCGCCAGAAAGATGCATTTAAGTCATTTATGGGAAAACAGATGCCCCTTGGAACCGTAATGTTAAGTGAAATAAATCAGGCACACACGTTTAAATATAACATGGTTTCTCTTATATGAGAAACCCAAAAGATAAAGAACAAAATAAATAATAGATAATAGCAGGTAGAGAGATAAAATCTTCTCAAATGGGGGGCAAGAGATTGGGGGGGTGGTACAGGAATAGAGGGAATGAAAAAGACTTAGGGTGTGTTATGTACCTGTGTCAGCTCCACACGAGGAATGTAAATGTTATATACTGGAAATGTGTGCTAATACAGCAAAGGAAATTGTGTATGTGAGTGATAAAGTATTGCAGGAATTCAGCTAACGAGACTTGTCAGAACATAGTAATAAATTATATATAATTTAAAGCGATTAACTAAAAGTGACTTTCAGTTGTGACTGGAATCCTTAGAAAATTGGAGGAATTAAAGTTGCATGGGAAAATGATCTCTTTCCAAATGTTTCGCTTCAAGTATTGGCAGGACATAGTAAGGTCCATAGATGACTTCTAGAAAGCTAAACATATGGGCGGAAGCAGTGTGTTCTGTATCTGTTGCATTTAGGGTGGTGTTTGGAACCGAGTGAGTAACACCAGCGCGTGAGAGACGTGCAGTGCGGCCCAGAAATAAACTTCAAGGTGGCTGCAACTGATGGGGAAGAAGAAGAAACAGTGATCTAGGTGAAGACTCTGCCAGGCTTGCGGGGAAGCAGAAGGAGTCACAGAAGCTAGGGGAAGAAAGGTGAAAGTGATTCGTGGAGTGGCCAGCAGTACCTTCTGCAGCAGAGGGAATTTCCTGATGGTGAAATCTCAAATGAGCGCACTGAACGTGACAGCGGGAAAGTCCTTGCTCTTAGGGTATGGTTTCTAAGCAATAAAGTGAGAAAGTCATGCTGCTGGAGACAGGTAAGTAGATGGAGAAGAGCAAGGAGGGTGCGTCTCACAAGGTGGTAGTTGTATCTCAGGGTTATCTGACTTAGGAGTGAAGCCCTAAACAGTTTGCACAGTGGCCTGAAGGCCACATCCACATCCACGTTGCAGTGTTGCTATTTTCTGCGACTCTTTTATTCTTTAGCGTAGTAACAGTTCTCTGCCACCCCTCGCCATACCTTGATTACCAAGACTGCTCTGTCTTAGGGCCTGTCCGTTTAGTATTCCTTCTGCTTTGTATGCATTTCCCTTGGTTACCTACGTGGCTATTCCGGCACCTCATTCAGATCTGACTAAAATATTGCTCTCACAGTGAGACCTTCTCTGATTCTTTTCTTTTCTTTTTTTTTTTGTTTGTTTTTTGAGACAGGGTCTCACTATGTAGTTGAGACTGACCTGGAGCTCACTATATAGCCCAGGCTGGTCTTGAACTCACAGCGATCCTCCTGCCTCAGCCTTCCAAATGCTGGGATTACAGCCGTGTGCCACCACGCCTGGCCTCTTCTCTGATTTTCTATTTAAAACTGAAAATTTTCTCTCTACGTAGTCCAGGCCCCTATCCCCAACCTTATCCCTTCCTATTTATTATTCTTTATAACATTTACTCCCTCTAACATGTTATATATAACTTTTACCTATAAATCTTGTCTGTGTTCTCCTACTAGAATTTAAACTCCATGAAGGCAAGGGCTTCACCAGTGTAGTTGTCCCCCAGTACCTGTGGGGAATTGGTTCCCGGACTCCTCACATATACTAAAATCTGTGGATGCTCAGATCCTTTACATAAAATCTCTAGATTCCTTACAATGCCTACCTGGGTGTGTAAATCCTATGCAGAGTTGTTACATTTTTAGGGAATAATCACCAAATAAAAGCCTGAACATGTTCAATACAGACCCAGTTTTTCCCCTGATTATTTCTACTCTGTTTGCTTGATTGCTTAGATGTGGGACCTGTACACACAGAGAGCTGTTAGATATCTGGCAAACAGTAGGCATTCATTAAATGTTGTTGCAAGAATGAATGAATATCATGGGTTCAGGATCCTTTGTGGAAACAAGCAGGAGAATATTCTCTTCATCATCACTAGCATCGTTATTAATAAGCATATTGAATGCTATTAATAGGCTCCACATAGTGTCTTGTCCGGGGTTGGCAAACTTCTTCTGTGAAGTGCTAGAGAGTAAATATTTTTGTGGGCCATGTGGTCTCACTGCAGCTACTCCGTTTTTGTTGTTGCAGTGGAAAAGCAGCCATGGACCATCTGTAAATGAACGAGCCTGGCTGTGTTCCAAGGGGACTATTTATGGATGCTGAAATTTGATTTTTACGTAATTTCCAAATGCCACAAAGTATTATTCTTTTATTTTTTTTTCCTGTAACCATTTAATAATGTAGAAACCATTCTTAGTTTATTGGCTAAGAAAATGGGCAGTGGGCCAAATTAGATTGGTAACATACACTTTGTCAGTCTCTATTTTCATTGGTTTCTTAAACATATCTTAGTTGAAACTTATTTTTCCATATTTGGTAGGGAGCAACAATGTGGATTAAACCGTCAAAACCGATAGTTCAAAAATTCTTCTGTTTAGTTCCAGAAACTTTAATGTCGTTCCATTTTTGTTTTCCTGGGAACCTTATGTTCTCATTGTGTGCTTATGATGTTAACATTTAAATGAGCTTGCATTCTTTTAGCAGATGCCACATGGTAGTGTTGGGAGCGCTGTAATAGTTTAGCAGAGGGGCTGATCAGAGCCCACCCAAGTTTAGAAGATTTGCCATTATTTACAAGGTGAATAATTCCCATATGGGGGAATCCAGAGTCATCAGCCAGGCCCAATGCCCAGAGGACTGCCCCGTGAATGGGGATTGTGTTAGAGTTCTTAACATCATCCACGACGCATTTTGTGAATAAGCTGCAAGTGCTTTTAATAAAGTAACTCAGGGTTAATTTTAGCAATGCCACTTTGGTATTCTTTGCTCCTTAAAAAAAACAAAAAAACAAAAAGCAAAACACCAAAATTGAAAACTCTCCAAACCCTAAAACAGAAAAAAATCCTAATATCAAATCAAACTGGTTTGGGCAAGACATCATAATTCTCTCCGGAAGCACAGAGAGAAAACTGCTTTTCACTTGCAAAAGTTTTGAATACTCTTAAGGTTTTTCATGTGCTAGATTTTCTTGTTTTCACAACAGACCTTTCATGTAGGTGCCCTCTGTAACTGTTTGAGTGTGAAAGAACTGAGTCCGTGACAGTAAGTAGTTGGTCATAGTACCAGGGCTCCCAACCAGACCTTCTGGGCCTGTGACGCACACATTCTTTCCTTCCTGTCAGCTTCAGACAGTTGATGCTTTCACTGCTGCAAGCGCTGTTCACTGCCTCTTCCTCTGAGTCTGAGACTGTTCCAGCTCTCTTTTCTCTCCTAGCCATTTTGTTGACTGTAATTCTTCTGAACATGCTCCGTCTTGGTCTGCTAGTATCTGGCCTGCCCTTTTTTCTCCATCATTTGATCCTTGGAGACCTCATCCGACCATCAGTAGCTATTGAAATGTCTTGGGTATGATTGGCAAAGACAGGAAAGAATCCAGCGTGACTTCAGATCTGAGTGATTAGGGCCATTAAGACACCAGTGATTGCACATCAGAAGACGTGACGGGGGCCGGGGATTTAGCTCAGCGGTTCGGTGGCCTGCCTAGCAAGCACAAGGACCCGAGTTCAATCCCCGGTACCAAAAAAAAAAAAAAAAAAAAAAAAAAAAAAAAAAAAAGACTTGACAGGAGCTGATTGAGAGGGAGCAGATTTAGAATTTGTTTTAAATGTGTTACTGTTGAGGTAATGGTGGGGACAGCTTTGTAAATTTAGTTTTCTTTCCTCCAAAAAAGTAAAATGGTTAAACAGGTTGAGCCAAGGAGCTGGGGCTCCAGCAAAGTAGCAGAATTGCATAGTTAGAATTAAAGTCTTTGTGTTCCTTTTTCAGGGTGCCATCTAAGCAACTTCATTTATTGTGAAAATGGAGACTTCTCAAGCTTTTTTGAAGCTGTTTAGAGAAAATTGTTACAAATATTACCTAATTTGGGATGGTTGTATATCTTATGAATTAAGAGGTGGCATAAAAAGATTCCTCAGTACCTCAGTGTGGGACGTGTTACAGGATGTTATTCTTGAATTATTTCACTTCACTTTGGTGCTTTGATATTGTATATTATTTGAATTACATGTTGTGATTTTTTATTTGCTTAAAAAAGCTGCCACTTATATATTAACAGATATTAAGGCACTCCTTTGGGCCTTTTCCTGTTCCTGTGCCTCCTTCCCCTTTCTGTTACAGCCTCAACTGTCTGGTTGTAGCTCAGAAAAGTGTATACGGGCCAACTGGTGTTTCAGTGGAAACAAGAGAAAGAAGAACTTACTATTTCTCCATACTTAATTGAGAAGTAGTGTATGATATCTTACATATCGTAATTGGAGGGGTAAGGGGGTTGGTCAAGTCCATGCATTCTGATGTAAACACCTCAGCCGTGTCAAATGGCTTAGTCAGAACGAGAAGGCTAATGGGTTTAAGCAGAGAGTGCGAATAGGGCTCTCCCCAGAGGTGGTCACACTATTCTAGCCTGTACCTACGTGCACAGAGATGCATGTGTCTTGCCTTTGAGAAAGGGCCGTGCTGACTGCTTATGGCAGACCCTGCTGGATAACCCCTCTGGCAGGGATCAGAAGGACCAGGGTGTATGCGATAAGATCTCTGCATGCTCCTTTTCCGGTAGTGGTGGCGTCTCACAGATCATACCTTCGAGTCTTTTGATTCACAGTTTACCGTGTTCTGGAAGAGACTGCATCGTTTTACTGTAAGTTGTCGGGCTTATAGAAAGTCAGGAATTTTAATGGACTCCTCTGTTTTTCCATGCAGGTGTCCAGAGGGCTTCTTGGGAGAATACTGCCAACATCGAGATCCCTGTGAGAAGAACCGCTGCCAGAATGGCGGGACCTGTATGGCCCAGGCCATGCTGGGGAGAGCTACCTGCCGGTGCGCCCCGGGGTTCACCGGGGAGGACTGCCAGCACTCGACCTCTCACCCCTGCTTTGTGACTCGTCCCTGCCAGAACGGAGGCACCTGCCACATGCTCAGCCGGGACACCTATGAGTGTACCTGCCAAGTCGGGTTTACAGGTGACGAAAGGGACCCATGCCCACACTTCGCTACACTCAGCACCTATCTTTATTTTGAATCTTTAGACTTTAAAGTCAGCTTGAAGGGACTCCCCCAACTGTGGTGCACACTTAACCTTGTGATAAAGAATGGGAATATTCTGGATAATTGACCTCAAGCTCCTTCTCAGAGTTTTAAGGGGCTGAGTAGGAGAAATAAGGACCCTAAAATACTTAGATATACTTGACAACTTTAAGAATGCACTACATGTGTTATAACCTCAGGATTGGTGGTCAGAATTAATTCACTAAAGGAAACACACTGTCACTAGGAGAAATGCTATGGATGCTGTTGATTTTTCACTTCTCTAAAATCTTCCTGAGATACGCAGGGCACACTGGCCTTGCTGGTTTTCTGAACTCTTGATTGTTCGTTCCTCTTTTTTCTGCATTGCCTCATCCTTATCCATGCAGTGTTTGTGTTCTCTGGAACAGTTCTGAGCCGTGCCAGTTTTCCCTGGGGAATCTCAGTGTCATTGGTTGCTTCTTTGTCTCCGCAGGTTACCGATGACTCTCACAGTCATCCGTTAGCTGCATCTCTGCCCTGACGCTAAGGCTCGTTCTTCTAACTGCCTGTTACACAGGCTCTGTAGAACTGTGAGCATCTCCCATGCAGCCTGTTGATACAAGTAAGGGTGTGCAGCTCACACCCAGACTACAAGCTCCTCTTCCCTGTCCTTGCTTTGAAGCCAGTCACCGATTCAGTCTTTGGATTCCATGCAGCTTGTTTTCTCCTCGCCATTTCCTCTGCCTGCTGTGTACCTGAGGACCATGGTGTCTCTCACCTGAACTCCTAATTGGTTTCTTAGCTCTTTATATTCCTCTTTCTCCATCTCATTCACCGGTGATGTTGTTGCATCATTAGCTATTAATGCAGATCTCCTAACACGCTCACTTGCTTACCGTGTCTCATGACATTTCCTCATCCACAGGATAAACTGTAAACTCCTTCATTTGGGTTCTGTGGCCCATCCTACTCCAGGCGATGATGGCTCTGCGGCCTCACTTCTCCACAGACCTCTAGGTCTGGTCACACTGACATTCTCATCACTTCCCGAAAATGTCATTCTTCCTGTTGCTTACATGTGGTTCCCTATGTCTTTGCCTGAAAGGTTCTTTTCTACAATTGATGATTACCCAGTGTTTTTCTAAAACTGTGTCTCAGTGACCCCGTTGTGATTCCTTGAGGCAGTTGGTACCTGGGTTTTATTATTTTTATGTCACAGTTTATTTTACTTAATTTTTTATATGTCTCTCTTTTGAGTAGATTAGAGATTCTTCAGAGGTAGATCGGAACTTTTTTTTGAGGCAGGGTCTCACTATGTAGTTGAGACTGACCTGGAGCTCACTATGTAGCCCAGGCTGGTCTTGAACTCACAGCGATCCTCCTGCCTCAGCCTCCCTTGTGCTGGGATTACAGGCATGTGCCACCACGCCCGGCCTGAACTTTATTCAGAATGAACTGTCAGTGTTTATTAAATTTGGTGAAAAGAGAACCATTCTCCATTTTGTCCTGTTTTTAACACTAAGTCAATTGCTTCTATGAATCAATAAGCAAAAAGTGAAAAATAAACTGAAAAGACTAGACTGGAGAAGTTATCTTAGAATATTTGTTGTATTAATTTTTTATCAGAGGTATTGGTGGGAGGAAAGGGTAATTAGAAGGATGGTTGTCTCCATCTTTACCATGGTGGCATTGATGATGATGTGGATCGTTAAAGAGATTTGGAACTGCGAATAATTTCTTACTGATTCTCAGTTTTGTTTTTGGAGTGCTGGAGATTGAACCCAGGGCCTTTGCACTGAGCTACATCCCCAGCTCTTTTTTTATTTTCATTTTTCTTATTTTGGAGACAGGATCTTGCTAAGTCACCCAGTTGCCCAACCTGGGCTCAGACTTGTGGTCCTCCTGCCTCAGCCTCCCAAAGTTCTGGCATTACAGGCATGTGCCACTGTGCCAAGACTGATTGTCAATTTTGAGTTGTTTTGCCACTTCAGGACATGGGGGAGAGCATTCCTGTTTCTAGCATTTTAATCCTGATTAGTAGAAATGACAGCAATGCTTCTTTAGAATGAAAACTTTACCCAGAAATGGACTCCAAGTTACAGCTTCTTCTTTTACTATTAAAAAGGTCTCTTGAAAGTCTGCAGTATTCTGATCATCTTTATACCGATTTTATCACTTTCACCTGCCATTGTGGGAATCCCCACAGCCAAGTCCACCCTTTTGGTTTTTGTGAACGCTCTCCCCTAACCCAGGCAAGCCCTTTAGCTTGTCTCCTGTCACAGGTGCAGCAGCGCAGTGAGTTAGTGCCTGGACATAATGTGTGTAGAAACCAAGTTCAAGGGTCTTTGTGCATCACTGTGGGCAGGCACTGATGTCCTGGCTCGCCAGAGTTAGCCTTTGTGTCTCTTTCTTCCATGGTAAGTAACCGCCTCTCATTGGAATGATGGAAAAAATCAAAATACAGATGGTGGTTCCTTCATTTCCTCCCTGCTCAGCACTAAGGATTGTGTGCTGGGCCCAAGTGTTTTTCACTTTTCCCTTTGACATTTCTTTTTTTTTGTTTTTGGTACCTGGGATTGGACTTGGGACCTTGTGCTTGCGAGGCACGTGACGGAACCACTGAGCTAAACCCCCGGCCCTGATTTGACATTTCTTGACAAGCTCAGAGCATTTCTTTCTGTCTCATATGTCACATCTGTTAGCAAAGCCATCCTCTCTGTCTTGCTTTACTTGGGGCGGGTGTGTGTGTGTCAAAGATTTGGACAACCAATTGCAATATTAACAACTCATAGAGTTCTTATCTCGTTTAAAAAAAGATTTAGATAAAAAGGCTTATGACTATCAAATTCACTAGAATCATGGGAATGTTTCTCTGTTTTTCTTAAAAAAATCTGCTCTGCATCCCTTGGATTCAAAGCTTAGGATTCAGCATCACTGCCTTCTTGCTGCTGGTGCTGGTGCCTTTCTACGTAGGAAAGCCCACAAGTTATCTTTCAGGACCCCTGCCCTCATGACAGCTTTCATTTCTTTTGCTACATAGGGAGTCAGAGATCCATGATCATCTCCAAATGCATCAAATTGTATGTATAGCAAGACCATAATTACCATTATTGCCCAGAATGTGTGTGTGTTGTGTGGGGGATTAAGAATGCCTCGTAGATGTGGTGACTGCTGAGGAGAGTTGTCAAGATGAGGGAGAGTTCACTTGGTGAACGGAAAGGATGCCGGCCTTCCCATGGAGGAGCAACATGTGCCAAGACAGGGAGGTGTGAGAGAGAGGTGGTCCAGGCTCTGTGCCGCAGGGACATCCAGGCCCCTTGGCTGGGCTTCCTGTGAATCGCCTGCTGTCTCTTCTGTCCTCCATCCACTGAGTCTCTGAGTTCCATCTGCAGCCCTTAGAGAGGGGGCAAGTGTGCCTGTGCCAGATGATCTGGAGGAGGCTCTGCGTTGTCCTCTGTAAAATCTCGAAGCTTGGGGGATCTCCTTGGGAGCTCTCCCACCACCACCTCTTGGGCGGGAGAGGAAGGTGTTCAGGGTGGGCCCGTTTCTGTGAGCGGGTCTGAGTGCTTCTGTCCTTCCTGTAGGGAAGCTGTGCCAGTGGACTGACGCCTGCCTGTCCCATCCCTGTGCAAACGGAAGCACCTGCACCACTGTGGCCAACCAGTTCTCCTGCAGATGCCTCGTGGGCTTCACGGGGCAGAAGTGCGAGGCTGATGTCAATGAGTGTGACGTTCCAGGACAGTGCCAGAATGGCGGCACCTGCCTCAACCTGCCTGGCTCCTACCAGTGCCAGTGCTCCCGGGGCTTCACGGGCCAGCGCTGTGACAGCCCCTACGTGCCCTGTGCACCCTCGCCCTGTGTCAACGGAGGCACCTGCCGGCAGACCGGCGACTTCACCTTTGATTGTAGCTGTCTTCCAGGTAAGGAGTTCGCTGGTATCCTGGGGTCGGGGGACAGCGCGCTCACAGGAGGAGGGATGGTTGTGCGCGTGGCTCAGTGGCTCCTTTAGGAAGTCCCTTTAAAAAGGGAAAAAAGGGAAGTGAGAATTTTGTGTGGAGTGGGTTGCTGGTGAGGGAGGAGTTTTATGAGCCCACTGAGCTTCATAAACTGAGCAGGGGGTTATTTAACATGTCAAGGTTTATGATGATGAGTGGCTTGTTTATTGTCCCTGTTGGAGACACAGTGAGAAGAAATACGAGAGATAGAGCTCTGGGAAAGGGATGGGGAGATCTGGAAGGGAGAAGAACATCATGAGAGTTAGACACTGGTAAACATGTGTGTGATAAAGTGCTTTAAACAAGATCGATACTAAGTAGTTGATCAGATTTTTTTTTTTTGGTACCGGGGATCGAACAGTTGATCAGATTTTGCATGTGCTTTTGGCTCTGATGGGATAATGCACTATTGTTCCATCCATTTAAATAATTAAATGCATCCATCCACCTTTTTTTTTTTTGAGACAGGGTCTCACTATATAGCTCAGGCTGGCCTTTGAGCTCCCTATGTAGCCCAGGCTGGCCTTGAACTTGTGCTGATCCTCCTGCCTCAGCCTCCCGAGTGCTGGGATTGCCGACACTCACCACCACCCTGGATTCCATCCACCCTTTTGTGATTTTTTTTTTCCTCCTGGGTACTGGCCTTTAGTACCCACTCCCATGTGCCTTCCCTGACTTTGGAGTAACCACCCTGCCCAAAATGGAAGCGGGAGAGTTTGGAAACTAGGATGGAGGGGCCCTCTGTTAGTCAGCAGGCACTTTTTCATGAGCCCTGGTAGATGATGTTGAGGGACTAAGCATGACACGGTGCTTTGTCATGCTCCTGGCCGGTCCCCCGGAGCACACACGTAGCCCAAGGTGGCTGCGGGCAGAGGCAGGCGCCTGCTGTTCCGTAGGGGAAAAGAGCAAGACTGACCGGTTCCCTTCGCTCCTTATAAAAGTGACTGGGAGGCTGAAAACAAGAATTTTGATTGGGAACAGAACACAAACAGCTGGAGCAAATGAATTACTAAGCAACAAAGGTCTTGTTTTTATACAAATATCCTTAGTACAAAAGCAAAAGAAGGAAAACTGTGTGTGTGTGTGTGTGTGTGTGTGTGTGTGTGTGTGAATAATATGCTAAAGAGACATAATTGCCTTACAAGAGGTTGTTCTAGCTACTCTTGGTGTGAGAATTTTAAATTCTGGTGTTATGGATGTGCTTCACATATAATGGGTTTGTGTTTTATCTTCTGGGGATTAAAGGTTGTAGGTTGGTCCTCAGTGAAAAATAGTTGGTAATTTATTCATTTTATTTGGTAAAAATGTGTGGGCTGCTGTGTTCTGGATACTGTGTTATGTGTCTGGGATACAGCAGTGCAAGACCCTGACAGTAACCTAGATAAAAACTTTATATCATTTAGCTGTGTGGCAAGAACATGCTATTAATTATACTGCTTTTAGTTTATCTTTCAATAAAGAATAGATAATGCTATTACTCAAGATACTAGATAAATGTTTATTGACATAGTATTGCTGTCATCCATATTATCTTGTAGAAGGAATAACTAAAAGATAACTTGTTCCTCTTGAATTCGTTTGCTTTTAGGGTTGAACGCAGACATAGACTATAAACAATTTAATTTTGTAAATATTTTAGTTTCGCTAACATCCTAGAGGACTGATGTATACTAGTGCAAGTGGTAGTAATCGAAATGACTGTGATTGATGGTTGAAGGCCGTCTGGCATTTACAGTTTTAAGAAAATGACTTCTAATAGTTGCCTAGAACGGGAGGTTAATTTGGCATTGAGATGTTGACAGGAAGTTAGAGAAGTCAATAAAGGAAGTCTTTAGCTGGGAGAGAGCGTTATTCAGTCCCGCTGTTTGTGCGTTATCATCCCTTAGCCACGATAAGAGCCTCAGGGAATTCTGAGAGTGTGTCCAGGAAGGGATCTGTCAGATGAGAATAGCGTCCCCTCCTTGAGAAAGGAAATAACCAGGGATTCCACAGCCAGGAGGCTGCCAGGTCTGGTGGGAGGAGGAAGATTTTGGCTGCCTCTTAAGCTCTTATGTCATGTAAAGCAAGACAGTGTGTGTGTGTGTGTGTGTGTGTGTGTGTTAGAGAGAGAGTGTGTGTGTGTGTGTGTGTGTGTGTGTGTGTGTGTGTGTGTGTGTGTGTAAGAGAGAGAGAGGGAGGGAGAGGAGGGAGAGAGAAGATTGGCAAAGGGAAAGTTAACACTCATTTAATGCCAGGCCCTGCTGGCTACTTCCATAGGTTGAGTACCCACAACCACTGGGAATGGGTATCGTAGTTTTGAGTTTTCTCACACGGTGTAACTGCAGTTCTGCAATATTAAATGATTCACCCAAAGATGCACAGCTGATGTGTGGCGAGGTTGGGCCCTGAAACCCAGGCTGTTTATTGCCAGAGCCTGAGCTCTGTGAATCTTCCTGCCTTGCGCTGCACCATTCAGTTGGTTCCTAGAGTGCTCTGGGGATGTGTGACTTTCTATTAAATGTTTGATTCAAAAATATGTATGCTTACATTTTCAGAAAAGTGAGATAGTCCTAATTACAACCAGGTAGTGTTCTTATCCTGGCATATATGTAGCATTGTGAAAATATTTAAACATAGTTAAGTACATCTAAAACAGAAGAACTTAGCTTGGACACTGTATAGAGGGAAATCCCAGAGCGGCCCAGAGTAATGGGTGTCAGCCACACTGTGAATAAGTATGTATTTACCCAGTTTGTAAGATTTCTTTGCCACATAGGGAAGTAGTGCCTAGAAAAGATTTAAAAACAAATTAATTTTGTTGGTACATTTTAGGTATACAATATACTGACATTCATCATTGGAGATTTGCACCTTTACGTAACTCGTCTTGATTCTTATTTTTCCCCCATTCTCCTGCCCTCCCTTCAACCCCTCTACCCCTCTATATTTACAAAGATTCCGTTTCCATTTTTTCATTTTCTCATATTAATTCCATTCCCTTCTTTCCTTTCCCCTGGAGAGGATTTTTGAAAGGCCTTTAAATAATACAGTACTCCTTTTCTTGCTCCTCCCTTAATTGTTCTCCGCACTACTTAAAGTAATAATCACCCTCTCCATGTGAATAGCAGCTTAAAAAAACTTTTTTGGTACTGAGGATCGAAGTGGGGTCCTTGCACTTGCGAGGCAGGTGGCGGAACCACTGAACTAAATCCCTGGCCTAGCAACTTATTTGAAGAGCATTATTATTTCCGATCTAAAGATGAGGAAACCAAGTCAGCAGGATGAAAAAGCAGCTTGTCAAGCTATTTTGCAACTCCAGAAAGACTGCTTCCTGCCTCTCTCCAGGCCTCTTCATGTCTAACCCAGGCAAGCCCTGATCATCCTATTTAGGCTTGTAACCCTCCTCCACCCCTCTTAATCACTAATCCTGGTCTAGCTTTTGTTTTCTTTCCCTGTGACACTTATTGTCTTACTGTATAATCTGCACTGTATAATTTACTTCATTATGCCTATTGTTTATTGTCTTTTCCAGATTCTGCCGCCTCTTCTCCTCTGCAGAACTGAAAGCTCTTTGTTTTGTTTACTTGTGTGTCTCAAACACCTGAAATCAGTGCGTGGTATATGTAACAGGCCCAGAGACATCTGTTGGCTGCCTGTGAGAGTATGGACTCGTTACAGTGTGGAGACTGTCGCTTCGGTCTTCTCCTTTCCTTCCCACTACCCTGCGTCCTAGACTTAGTTTGAGTTCTCTTTTTATTCTTGGCCACTCTGTCTTCTCGGCACTGAGGGTCAGTGATCATATTTAAATGGTTGAATTATAGCCCTTTCCTGCAAAGGGTTAGTAGAGTCACGGTGAGTTGAGTTTCGTATTGTAGGATTGATGGGGGGAAAGAATGAAAGCTGCAAAAGAGAGAGGGGAAAAAGAAGTACCTTCAAGAAGGGAGTTAATCGAATGGAATCAAGCAACTGCATTGCATTGTGTCTTGGGATCAGCAGCTGTTAATAATCCAGAGCCCTCAGGAACTTTGGTCATGTAAAGCCACAGTGATTTTAGCATAAGAGCAGAATAGAGCGTGAAAATGAATTGTTGAATCATTGAATTCCTGCTTTTGGGTTAGGGCCAACAAATGGAAGAAAATGGGTTAGGCTCATTTTGGTGGCTATTTTAATAAGCAGCACAAGTAATCGGAAAACCCAGGGCTGTTTTGAATCTGCTGGCCGTCCCTGTGAGTTCACTGCTGGGTTGAACAGTCCTCAGTGTACTTTCCCTCTTTACTTCTCTCCTACAGCTCTGCTCTTTAGATTTGTTCTAAACGGAATAGAATGCTGTTGGGTCTGTCCGCTCCTACTGAAGAAGGCTTAGCCTCTGCAGCCGCCTCTGCGGTGGTTATTTGTCATATCCCTGCCCATTAAAGCTTGCGCACATCCACGGTTTTATGTCTGTTGTTTTCTGTTGTTGCTGAGTGTAAGAACCATTAGAAACAGGTCCCTAGGCATTTTCATACTCAGGAGCATGTGATGCTTTCCTGGGTATCACCCTAATCTCTGGGGGAGGGGAGTCGCCCTATGTCTTTGTGGTTTTGTCCAGTTTTGTCACTTTTTCATCTCTGTTCACGGAAGCTTTTTGTGAGGACTTTGGGCCTGGCCCAGAGCATCCCGATTCTGTCATCTCCTCTTCTCTTTCTTCTCTCTTCCCTACTCCTTTCCACCCTTCCACCTCCTGGGGCCTAAACAGAGAGACGAGCACGCCCGCTTGAGAATGTGCTTCTCTGTGTGGGACGACAAGTTCAGGAGACTTTTCTGCGCCCCGTCCTCACTGCCATCACCAATCACTGGCAGTAGCCCACAGTTCTGTAACAGCCCCATCTGAAAATGTCCCTTCTAAGTTTAATTTCTCTGCTTCTGGCCTTTGAAGGACGTGGCTTGGCTTTGGGCAGTAGACTCCTTTTAGTTTGGCCCATGTGAGCCTCGGTGACTTTGCCACACCCATCCTACCCACAGGTCTGGAGGCTGGTCTGCTTCCTTTTCCTCCAAAAACTGAAAAAATATTCTTAAGAAGGGACTGCACTGTAACTTAAAGCCTCCCCCCGCCTTTGGGTAGACTGTTTCTTACAAGAATTTGCGAGCTCTTTCCAAAAAGGGATCTGTAAATCTATTTTTAAAGCATAAATCCTGTCACAACTTTGGAGGAGAAATAGTTTGGCTTGAGGTTCTCAAACATGAAAACTTTTGACCTCAGGTCAGCTTTTCAACTTGCTTAAAGAAAACTGGGGTCTCAGAAGACGTACTACAACCGGGTAAAATTTCTGGTTCAGCACCGACTTGCCTGTTGGCCATATGACTGAGGGCATGTCAGCCATGTGGTCCTCAACGTCTTCATCTGTGGCATAGTAGGATTAGAATAGATAACCTCTGATGGGTGTCCTAATTCCATTGGTACATCATGATATTAGCGAATATGTTTTGATTACTTTCTCCCTGAAGTAACCACTTAGAGATATAATTTACACACCATGTAATTTGCTCTGGCCTACAGTTCAGTGACTTTAGTACATTCATAGATCTGCGCGGCCATCATTCCATTCAACTTTAGAATATTTTTATGCTCCAGAGGAAACCATGTACCCATCATCAATTGCTGGTGAAGCAATGGCTTCTTAATTCCTTCTCTGCCCTTGGAAGTTTTTAACCTACTGTCTCTATTTGTCTGTCTTGGACATCTTATAAATAGAAGCAGCAACATGTAGTCAGGTGTGATATGAGCATATTGAAGAAAGGTTTACTTAACCCAAGTTACAAAGATACAGTCTTTTTTTTCCTAATAGATAATTGTATAATTTTAGCTCTTGTTTTTAGGCCTGTGATCCATTTTGAGATAATTTTTATGTTTGCAGGGGGGTTCCAAATTCATTCTTCTGTATGTGGATTTTTACTTGTCTAGCTCCATCTATTGAGTTAAGTGCTTTTTATGTCCCACTCAACCCTTCAGGGACTCTTTGAGCTAGGTTCTGTTCATCCCTCAAGGAAGAAAGAAAATTTAAGTTTCGTGCCAGGGTTCACTCACTGTGTGGCAAGGCTGAGAGTTGTGCCTAGGCAATTTGGCTCCAGAGGCTACGCTTTTAACCACAAATTGACGCTCACCTGTCTGCCTTCTTACTGCCTACCTATTGACAGTGGGAAAACTACCTCAAAAATGCTCAGCCAGCCATATAAAATTTTATTTCTTGTAGCTTGTGGTTATGTTGAAATGCTTCTGCTTTCTTAATTTGTCTGTGGTTGGTGAATTCAGTTATTTGTAATACTGACTAATATAAAGCCAGGATCCAAGTTCCTATTCGTTAAGACTTAGCTGCGCAGGGGCTTTGTCACCTCCCCGACACCCTGTTCAGCCACATTTGGTCGTAGTTATCAGTCAGGGAGAGGATGACCATCACGAGTTGTAGAATCCCCAGCAGACCACACAAGTTCTTCTAAAACATTAATTTGAATTTACAGAGAGCACTGGACGAGGAGCGCTGACCTCAGATCGCATTCAGTGACTGCTCTGTGGTAGACCTGTAGCTTTGGCCTCACTTTATCATAACTGGGGTGGGCTTAAGCAGTTCAGCATTTTCTGGCTCAGTCCATTTGTAAGATTTTCGTATGATTAAACAGCAATATGAGTAATGTAAACTTTTAAAATCTGAGTGTATGTTTCCTTAGTCTTTCTCAGGCTTGCTTAGTGAATTCATCTGCTAGAATGGACTGAATAAATAAGTACCTGGAGAATTATAATTTACCTCAATCAGGCTCACATCTTCTGTAAAGTATTTCCTTTTATTTCTGGGGAATTATCCTTGGTCAGTCATTTATATAACTCCCTCTGTGTTCAGAGAAACCAGCCATGTTCCAGTATAGCAAAGCAGATGTAAGAATTCACAGTAACGTGTAGTGAGGAATGATCCCTGTCCTACTCATGAGGCTATAAATGTCATGAAAGCAGGGACTCTTCCTTTTTTACCTGCTGTTACCCTTCCATGTCTAGTGTAAGTCCTGGTCAATATTTTGAGTAAGCGATAATAACCTTGCAGAATATTTTGAGGAGTCCAAATAGCTAGTCATATACTGTATTTCATATAGAAAAATATTCATTGTACATCCTCTTGTCTTAAAGCTGGTAGGTAGCCTTCTATTGATTAGCTCAAGGATTTGGTACAAGAAAAGGGAAAGGAAAGAAGCCAAACATATAAAATACAGAGAGCCACACTGTGGGCACTGAGGATGAAGTTTGGTGCTTTAGTTTTGTTTTTCACAAAAAGGAAAAATCAAAAGAAAGGAAATAATGCTATAAATGTAACACTCATTTAGAGATGAATATAAATAATTTGAAGTACTGGGAAGTCATCAGTAATCATGGTACCTCATTTTAAGGTGGCTTTAATATTTGTGTAACATTTTATTTATGATGTGATACAACAATATAGAAAGGCAGCCTGGGGGAGTGGAACTGGACTCATTTTATAGGCGGGAGGGCTAACTCAGGGTCTGTAATGTCCTGTACATTAAATGGCTTGTAGGTTGTGAGATTGGGACTTGACCCACATCAGTATTCAATAGTTCAATATTTTTCCTATGGCCTCCTCCATCCCCAATTTTGGAAGTCCCTGAGCTATCCCCCACCCCACGCCAAAAAGGAATTTAAAGTTAATTGGGAAATCTTTTTATCTCTTCTTTCCAGCAGTCTAGTATGGAGCCAGGGAAAATCTAATACCTTGTTTTTTAGAACCAGTATGTATTTGTCCCAAGAAGATGTTAATCTTCCCCGGGATTTTATTTCATGGAAATGTGTTGAAATGCCCTCGAGGTGACTGTGGAGGCCTGTCGTCAGGGTCAAGAGTCCCTTTCACTGTCTGGCCATGTTCCATGCCAGAGAACATGCAGGATCATGCAGTTTTTCATGGAGTGAGTTCTGCATTGAGCAGCTCAGCGTTGGTTGAACTGAAATGGTTTTCTGGTGCCTGTGTACTGCAGGAGAAAGTGGAATGCTTCTATTTGAGAATTTATCACTTGCTTTTATTCTTCTCTGCCAGGTTTTGAAGGGAGCACCTGTGAGCGGAATATTGACGACTGCCCGAACCACCGGTGTCAGAATGGAGGGGTCTGTGTGGATGGTGTCAACACTTACAACTGCCGCTGCCCACCTCAGTGGACAGGTGCGTAGAGGGTGGCCAGTCCATTGGAACAGGGTGTGGTTGGTACCCGAGGAGAGTGGGATAAAAGTGAGCACCTTGTACAACTTCTCTCAGAGCTGCTCGGAGGCTAGACTGTGTGAACCGAGCAGAGATCTGGGTGCTGGACCTTGGGGTGGGTGTGCTGCTGGCCCCATGTGTTTGTCTGTGTTCGTGCAAACAAGACACGTTTTCACAGGTATGATCGGGTTACTGCTCTGAACTCAGCACCATGTTAAGTGCTGTGATGGGAGAGAAGAACACTCTTGATTAACCTGAGGCTTATCATCCAGGAAAAGCAGCATGTTACTTGGAGCATAGTAGTTGCTTAATAAATATTTTATAGGGAAACGAACACACTTAAATGGCAAATGTACATACCACAAGAGTTCAGATCAGTTTATTCATGGAGAGATATCTACCCCATCGTACTGTTTATTGTCATCCCCCATAATTAGCAAAGGGTTGAGCAGTTACTTTTGACATTATTTGTTTATTGTCCCCACTACATTTCTGCTTTTTCTTTCTTGTATCCCCTTTTCCATACCAAACAAAAATAGGGTTTTCTGCCTCTTACATCAAAAGAGCAGTGTTGTTTAATTTGACAGCCTCTTGATAGTTTCTTATGTTATCTTAGGTTTTTCACTTATTTTTGAAACTCAAGTGATTTTCTGCAGACGTTTAGTTCTAATTTTTGTTCATAGGATCTGTTTATCTGTCTACTGAAAGTGGAAACTATTAAGAACTGGTTAAGGGATGAAAAGCTGAGCCTTTTGGAGAGACACTGCTTTAATGCAGAAACCCACGGAATGCATGACACGGGGGGAAATTGCAGCGACAGGGTAGACCGCCTTCTGAAGAGCAGTCTTGGTGCTGGGGTGCAGCTACTCCTACCTAGTGTTCTTTAGTGTCTTAGAATCGCTTTCCTTTGTAGCTTCTAATTATTTAGAGTACTCTGATGCTGTAGACTCTGAATAGGAAGAAATAGAACGGACTTACAACTTAAATAATAGGATTTTCTTCAAGAGTCTTTATTTCTGCCTTTAATCCCCAAACTGCTGGTTTTGATTTTTCCCCCATGGGTTTCCCTAGCTCTGAACTTTCCTTAGAATTTTTTTCATGGTGTCCTAGGACTTTACTCCTAACCCTCTGTGCCTTCTACTGTGCGCTCTCTTTTCCTAACCCTCTATTTTTTTTTTTTCCATTTCTGTGGAGGATTTTTCAGAGGCCATTTTTTTTTCCAGCTTAAAAAACTACTATAAAGTTACTTCGATGGCAGATAGTTACTGGGAGATCTGAATTTTGTTCACTTTTTAATGATACTTGCAGTGGTATTAGACAGGTTGAATACTTGTCAGGAACTTGACTTTATTCTAATCTCCTGCTGCCCTGTGGGAGAGTGACTGTATCGTACTGTGACTTTTGATGCCAGTGAAGATTAAATGGTATTTAATTTCATTGCTGATTTCTCTTTGATAGCACATTGGGTTTCCTGCTTTTATATTAATTGGGGAGGTCTGATCTTGGGAAAACTTTCCCAGTGACATGGTATTTTATCCATATTTCTTACCCCAGGATGTTTAGTAAGTATCTCTTATCTATCAAAGTCCTTATAAGACATTTCTCTCTTGATGTGTTTTATTTCTAGGAAGGGTGGGAAAGGTAACGAATGCGTAAGTTCCGAGTGGCAGTTTTCGTTTTTTCCATCTGCTGCCTGTCCTTTAGAGTGACCCTCAGTCTTCGGTTTCCCACCACAGGTTTCCTTCCCGTTTTTCTCTGATTCTTTGATTTTCAATAACGAGACTTGTTTTTTGCCCTGCTCATCATCAACAGAATGAAGTCCAAGATTCTACCTGTTACCGAAGCCCTTCAAGCCTCAGCTCTGTCTTCTTCTCCAGTCTCCCCTTGCATCCAGCAGCTCTTCAGACTCCAGCAAAAAAGAGCTGCTCGGGCCGGGGATTTAGCTCAGCGATTCAGTGGCCTGCCTCACAAGTGCAAGGACCCGAGTTCGATCCCCGGTACCACCAAAAAAAAAAAAAAAAAAAGAGCTGCTCTTAGTTCTGATTCTGCTGCTCATTGTTTCACATCCCAAGTCTTCATTCACACCACTCCTTTCTCCAGATTTCTCCACCCCTCTCCTGTTTTCCTTACTGTTTTTCACCTGCCTGACTCTGCCGGGTGGTTACCTCTTTCAGGAAGCCTCCGCTGACCTCTGTGCAGGCACAGCCTGAGTGTTCGCTGACCGGACGGACGATGGAGGTTCCGAGAGACCGGGTAGTTGGACTGTTGGTGACAGCTGTTGCTACTCTCCTTATAGACCTATGAGAGCTGTTTCCCATCACACCCTGCCCGCATTCTGAAGAGAGGAATAGAAAGACATCTGTCCCATAGGGTTCCTATTTCTATTGAAATCATGGTTCTAAATTCAGATTCATATTTCCTACCTTATATAAATCATAGAAACGAATAGGTCTGGGATGTAAGAATTAAATGATGTTTATTAGCTCTCAGTGTGCTTAATTGCAGTGTTTTATTTTGTGTAATCTTTTCAGTAACTGTGTCAGGAGTAGACTTTATTAAATATCCATTTTACAGATACCGATACACATTCAAGAGTTAAATAATTTGCCCAAGTCAAATAGTGATTAGGTTAGCGTTTGAACCTAGGCTTATTGAGTTCCGGATTTGTGCTCAAATCTGTAGTCTTTCTTCTAATTGAATCAAATTGATTCAATGAGTTGTTTTTTGTTTTTTTGTTTTTTTTATTTTTTATTTTTTCAGGACTTTTCTAATAGGTTGCAAGTTTAATTTATAATTTTATTGTGCTAGAATTTGGTGACTTATTCTTTGTGCCTTTCCCTATTTAGGAATTTAGCTGGTTACTTTGAGGTTAGAAGTTCACATAATGTGAATGTTTTATATTAAGTTCAGTGCTTTTTTCACTGTACCTAAGAGCCTTGTTTCAACTTTGTTCAGACTTCCCTTTGCAATTTCCAGCTGTGGAGTTGAAGCACGAACTGTTTGGTTTGGCTTTTGACAAAATAGAAAAGGAGGGGTTGTCGTGGGCAAGGAGCAAAGGAAATGAAGTTGCTGGCCATTTGAAAATGAATAGATGAGGTTATATGGCTGGAAAGTAAGGCATTAATTTTAAATAAATGGAAATGTGGGAATTTGCTGTATTTTTAATGAGAAGAGCAGCAGACTTCCAGATGAGTGGAAGTTTTTCCAGCTCTCATCATGGTTTGACTTGGAAAAAATAAATTCCTTCTTCTTGGAAGACTTTATTTGCTATACTTGAAACTAATATCTCTTTCATTCTGAATCATTGGCCAGGAGAATGCTTTTTGACTTTTTTCCTTTTCAGCAAACAACAGTCATGCTGAACAGTGTAGTTATATCTTGCTGTTGAATATCTTAAGTGTAATGTTCTGCAACTACATGAAATACCTGATTTTGAAGACTTAATAGGAAAAAAATACAATATCCTCATACTGCTTAAATGTTGATTAGATGATAAAGTTATGCTGTTTTAGATAACATTGGGTGAAATGAAATATATTAAAATTAATTTTATACATTCCCTTTCATGTCTATTGTGGCCCCTGGAAAATTCAGAATGACATCTATGTGTCTCCTTGTATTTCTTTTGGGCAACATACTTTAGATGCAAAGGTGTTCTTTCTGTGTTACCATTGCTGCTGCTCTGTGGGAACATTGGCCTGGCTTCTCAGTGGGAGAGGGGTAGATGGGTAGCCATAGCCATATGTAGAGGCGACCTCTTACTGGTCTCACTGGCAAAAACATGTTGGCTTTGTTTTGCTGTGGTTTTCCCATCAGGTATGGGCAGAATTGTGTCATAGCTCAGTACAGAGCTTTTCCACCTACCATGGCTGTCTGAATAAATAGTGTTTGTTCATGCTTTCAAAGACCACCAACCAGTCTTCTGGACTAGCCTGAGCTCAGGTAGAACAAAGAAATTGGTGTTGAGGGTGGGTGTAGACAGAGGGTTTACCTCTTCATCGGAATCTTATTATGGAGATAAGTCCAAATGACTCGATGTTCTTTTAGGAAATGAAAATATACCTAAGGGTTTAGTGCCGGCTGAGCACAAATGTCTTCATTATATACTGAATTTGGCCCCAGGCCATCTTATCGGAGAAGTTCTGCTCTGGCTCAGATATCCATTTAAGGAGAAATAAGTTTTAAAGGGCCCAAAATTTATTAGAGCAATGTAGATTAATGTTTTGTCTACATAGGTTGTTATTTGAATTTTCCTTTTAAAAGTTCATTTCCTTCGGAATTAAAGTTGGCTCTAAGCTCAACTCACAAATTCCTCTCTGTGGCTGCTTTTGGTTTTGGGTTCACTCATAGGGCAGATGTGATTTATTTTCCTGTGCTTATTATTAATCCAAAAATGTAATTTCAGCTTGGGCTTAGAATAGTGCTTTGGGACATTAAGCAGAAGTGAACAATGAAACTTAGGTGGACATTAGTCAAATAAAACTGACCACATTTTCTCTCAGCTCTCCTTGATGGCATGATGAGCCTGAAGAGTTGGTTACAATTTCCACTGCTCTCAGTCTTTCCAGTTTCAGTGCAAACTTTTGGCCTGCATCAGTAAGTGTGGATGCCAGAGCGGGTGCATGAGCTCCAGAGTCTGGGAAGGGGAGTGTGTGTATGACCGTCTTTTGGTGTCGAACAAGGTGTCTCTGTTGGCCCAGCATCTAGTTGGTGACAAGTTGTCCTCTGGGACAGTCTTTTCTCACAACTACTTTGTGTGTGTGTGTGTGTGTGTAAAACTGTGAGGAAAAACTTTCAGTTGAGAATGGAAATAAATTGCATTTTGGGTTACAAAGGTATTGTCATTTGTGTTCTGCATGGGAGAAAGGGAGAATTTCACTTTTCAGTTTGCCTGCTGTCAGCTTGATCGTAAGGACTTGATAATCAGCTTTTTCTCTAGAATTCTATCCCCTGCCCCCATTTCC